TTATGAACAGAAGTCTATGCTCAACAGAAGTCTCATGAAAGAACAAATTGGATCTTAAGTAGCTGGCAACTATCCTAATCTCAGCAAGAGCTGCCTTTCAGGAACTATCCAGAGAAAGGAGAGCAATAGCGAGCTGGATCTATCCAGCTTTATTGTAAAGACCTAGATCCCTTTTTTGGCAGCTTTGGATACAAAATAGCTGTTACTTGAGAAAGTGTAAGCTTCAACAGCATAAAGGTTAACATAAAGACTGTTGCAACAGTCTTACATTAATTACCCTCATTATAGTACTGCAACATGGGACCAGAATCAAATCAGCCTTGAAACCCCTGAAACCAACACCACGCTGCTTCTGTGGAATTATTCCCAGATCTTACTACTAAAGGAATTTTAAACAGACTTTTTTTTTTTTTTTTTTTAAACACATAGAAGTATCCATAGGACAGCTTTATCTATTTATTTGTTTTCCTGTAGCAAAAAAACTGAGCCATGGAACCTCAGAATCCAGAAGTCTTAACACAGAATTTGAAGCAAACCTGGTCTAAAACCTGTCCTGAAGGATAAGACAAAATTTACAGTACTTATAATTTGCAAACCTGAAATTAATTAGCAAAATGAAAACTGCTTAACTGCTCTTAAAATTTCACTTGTTTGAAAGACCAAAAACCTCTTTATTTTTAAGAAAATATTTAAGTTATGTGATAAAAATTCAGTAAACTCCATTAAAAACCTCAAATATTTTAATACAAAAAACATCCCCAAAGTAGTAAGTTCTAATCCAGGCTATAGATAGCCTGTAAGTTTTAAATGCAATACTAAAAGGAAAGGCTATGTTCCCAGGCATTTTTTTTTTCTTTTAAACTAGGCGAATTAATCACAAGTATCAAACTTGGGAAGCCTGTTAAAGCACTCATCAAGGCATAATACTCTATAGCACTCAGCTTCCACCCATTTGCCTGGCAATTCATCTTAATCCTTCATCTAAATAGATCATATATGAATGGCAAGTCCCTGAAGCAAACTGACCACCATATCTCTTCTCTTCCAGTAATCACTAGCTGCAATGTAGAATCCAGCAGCCCAATAACCACTGATTTCTAGATAGACCTGCTTTATTTCAAGGTTTGAAATATCCATATACACAGCACAAAGACAAAAGCAGAAAATCCACTTGCATATTGTAAAAATCAAGCAGCCACTGAGGTGGTTGAGCAAGACTGTCAAGGAGAGGTCAACCAACACAGGCTTTACTTAGAAGCATTAAAGGCTGAATGCTCATTTGAGAAATCAGAGCTCAGAAAAAAAAAAAAAAATATTATCAGAAGAGATCCTGTCCCTATTCTTTGCTATTTTTAAACCTTCCACGTCTCAACATCCCAGAAAATTTCACTTTTATCTCACAATACTGATCTATGGTGCAGTGGTGTGTTTGGAATGGGGGAGGGCAAGTTTTTTCAACCAACTCCGCCAGGCTGACTGCCACACATCCCACTTGGAAGTTAATCTGTCTAGTAAATGTAGCTGATCTTAAGCAACATTTTCAGAAGAATTTGAGTGGACAGTAGTATGCAACACCTACCTAAGGGACAGGACGACCCACAGAGCAGGCTGTTCTTAGGAAGAACACAAGCCAAGTTAATAATCCTAAAATAGTAGGCCTGCACAGTTTCTTCATCTTTAATTCTGTAGGAGACCTGAAAAGGACTTTTTGCTTGTAAAACTACAGCACTTACTATCATTAAGCAGCTGCATAAACCACTTCATTCAAAGGAAAGATTTCTATGCTAAATACCCTTGCTATTCTAGGGGGAGGAAGAAAAAAAAAACCCAGCACAGACATAGGAGGGCAAACATGTTCCTTTCCAGTGCTCTGAAAGGAAGTTTGAATTCTCAGGAAAGTAATCATAACAATACCAGATTTGCAGGAGGAATGGGATTCTCTTCTCTCTTGCTCCAAAGGTGCTAAAGACTATAAATTTAACCTGCAGGACAAGTCAACACCCTTGTATGACCTGCATATATTCAGCATCTTCAAGGGCATGCTGTTCATCAGTCCCTTCACTACTTCATGAAGAGATATACAGCAACATTTGAAGTGTACCATTGGTACGAAAAAGACTGGGAGATTAACTCACTCCAAGCCCCAATGACACTTTTCAGCATACCCACATTTTTGCTTAAAAATAATTGTAAAGTAAAGCAATTCCTCCTGTACAGACAGATGAAAGGCAATGCCTTGCTGCCAACTTAACTAGGGTATGGTAGAGTAGGATCTTCAAGCAATTACATTTTCCAGTACAATAACTTGATTATTTCTTCTCTCTTTGGTTGACAGACCAGCACTGTACTGAAACATGGTCCTAGGAGTTGCATTCAGCCATTGTACTACTACAGTTTCAGAAACAGAAGGACAGGAAAAAGATATTTTACCAGACTAAGGAATATCCATGTTGAATTACTTTCAGATTCAGTTATGCAAAATCGAATAACAAATATTAGGCAAGGAAACTTCCTATTCAGTATTTGTGTTTAGACATGGTTGCTAAGACAATCTTGTACATTTTTATTAAGAGACAAAACCTCTTCACCTCTCCACACCATTTTTAATCTTTTGTACTATGCTTATCTTGATCAGGAAACCAATTAATTTGTGGAAGTTCAAGAGGTTAACTGTCCTTTATTAGGATATTCCATCTCCACTTAGATGCCTCCTGAATCCTTACAGACTCTTGAGAACGATACAGCCCTTGTATTTTCTCTCTCAGCCATTCCATAACTTCTGCCAGAAGAATGCATAGAAAAACTATTCCCTGGATGAATGTCACAGTACATCAAAACAACTGAAATTTTTCTCTTTCACAAGGATCCTAGGAAAAGATTATTGAATCTCCATAGCCGCCTTCTTACTGAGCTTGCCAAGAATACCTAGAAAAGACATTCTCATGAAAATAAAAAATATCAGATTTTTCTTTCTTTTGAGTCTCTCATTTAGAAAAGAAAGAGAAATCTGAAGATGTTCTGTGTTTCTTCTTGAAACATGGAACCTTCCTTGATTAACTTAATGATTAATGAGTGGCATTCCTCAGGGGTCAGTACTGGGACCAGTGCTGTTCAACATCGTTGTCGGCGACACAGACAGTGGGATTGAACGCACCCTCAGCAAGCTGCATGGTGTTGTCAAGATGCTGGAGGGAAGGGATGCCATCCAGAGGGACCTTGACAGGTTGGAGAGGTGGGCCACTGCCAACCTCATGGAGTTCAACAAGGCCAAGTGCAAGGTCCTGCACCTGGGTCAGGGCAATCCCAAACCAAGTACAGGCTCAGTGGAGAGTGGATAGAGAGCAGCCTTGAGTAGAAGGGCTTGGGGTACTGGTTGACG